CTTGTCGAGTGGGGGGAGTTTGAAGTCTCTGGGCATAGGAACTTCAAGGAGTTCTGATGACAGGGGGGAAGGAACTGAGAGGATTGGAGCAGCCTTTACCTCTTCCGAGCTCGCTTCTTCTTCACCTCGGAGCTCGGGCAGGACGCAGGTTGCAGTTCGGCGGCTTCGCCGGCGGCGCCTCTGCTGCTTGGAAGGTGGTTCCAACAGAGGGAGGAAGGGGAACGTTCATGGCGGGAAGATTCACGGGCGCCACTGTTTGTGGCGCATTTAGGCTGGGGATCCCATCCACCGGGAGGGGGATGGTGAACTGTCCGATGCACACCACGGGGACTTGAAGTTGTTCCCCGGTGGCGTTCATCTCCATGCTACGTCTGGTATTGCTGGAAGAAGCCATCGGTGTTAGGGTTTCTTGGAAAAAAAAAGGTGTTATGAAAGTTTTAGAGGGAGGCTTTTAGAAGCGTTTCCCATAGATGACGCCAATTGATGGAGCATAATCCGGTCGGTCCTATCTGTCAACGATCTTGCCTCTAACTGGAGCGAAAGGTGTCTGAAACGGGGAAGAAAGCGAGTAGTCTCTGGGGAGGAACCCGATGAGAGTGCTCCGAAGCTCAAGTTAGTATTCTCTCAAAGGCAAGATAAGAAACCAGATGGCGCAAAGTTATCACGTACCTCTATTCCTAGGGGGAAGAGGGCATTTTATAACCACTTTGCGCACTCACTCCCAAGCTCCTGTCAGGTCGGGTATCATTACCTCTGCACTTCTGCCAGTTCGGGTGTCATCACCTCTGCTGGGGCAGACAACCGCCACTGTTCTCTTTGTCGGAGCCGTCTTTGTAACTAGAGGTGGTGGTGACAGGTGGCCGTTGAAGTGCGATTGCCAAGAGTCGAACCCTAAGTCAGTCAGGTGCGCCGCCTCAAGATACAGACTCCTTTGGTGTAAGGTACGGTTGTTCAGTTCGGCAGCCTGGAGACGAAGTGTTGGAGTGGTGTGTGAGGTAAAGTATTGAGTTCGGATAGAAGTGTGGCCCGAACTGCCCTGGGGTGGGCCAGTTCGGGTTGTTGCCCTTTGCGCTCCTCATAAGACTCGGGGTCAAAGGGAGAGTTCGAGCTCTTTTTGGGGAGCTCGGACTGCTGGTTCCTCCTCTCGGAGCTCGCGCCTTGAGCGTACTGCCGTGCCGAGCTGTTGGTCCTGCCAGGTCACCCTCGGTTGTTTCTACGTGTTGGGTGGCTAAGAGGTCGGGCCAAATCTTCCTCCATCAGATTTGAAGAATAAATCAGAAAAGCTATTGAACATACCCATTTGGGCTAAACAAACCATGTTGAGTTTTGGATTTTATTAGCACCGGAAAGGAGCATCTTCTTTTACTACCTGAGCCAACTAAATGAAGTAGTGTCATGGCATCACTTTGATTTTACCCAAGTGAACTTGAAGAAATAACTCAGTAGTTTTGTGAGTTGATGGCTACCTTGTAAAATTAATCCAAAAATATTAATTCGAGGGTTGAAAAGTAGCCTATTTCTGCATGTCCTTACGAAGCACATTAAACACTATTTGGAGATTCTCCCTTAGCTTCTAAGGAACTGCAGCAGAGTTTGCATTGCTTCTTCCAGATTGTTGCAACTGAATGAAACTGAGAAATATGAAACCGATCACAACGAAGATAAATGAATGAGTTTCGTGTTGTTGTTGTAGCAACTTTAATTCGTGTATGGAGGGATCACCGCCACTGAGTTCGCGTTGATTAGGGTTTAGATAACTAGAGAGAAAGGGAGGTGAATGAGAGAAAATCAAGAAGATTCAAAAGAAAGAAAGATGAAAAATCAAAATACAAAAATTCCTAATATATCGATGGATACCCATTGGGTACCTATCACCCAACCTGCCCAAATCCATTAAGCATGGCTTTAACTGGTTAACCGACCCACTATTGACCTGGCATTGAAAAAATACAACCCTACCCGTTAATAAATGGGTGGATTCAAGTCATTCAATAGGTTGGGTTGGAAATTGCCACCCCTCCGTAAGTGGAGATAGGGGGACCCTGGGGGCTGGAGAGTTATATATATGGTATCTCCATAGATGATTGGCCCATCTATGTTTATTTGCTCCTTCCCCCATGACCTAGGTTTGTTCAACCTTATAGTGATTTTTCATGGATGTATTGAACAAATACGAAACTATAAGTTTTAAATATGTAGATTTTAAGAAATGTTAGCAAAGAAAAAGTTGATACAACTCTTGGATTTCATTTCGGGATACTGATTCATGAAAATGTTTGTTTAATGTTGTCTTATAACAGTGGGTCTTTTTAATATGGTCCCGCAATCTTTCTAGGCAAATGTATGGAGTTCCAACATCTTGTTGTTTACTAGCACTATTTACAATCGATTATGGTTGTCATTTTTGAGGGCCCCACCTAAGCTCGACTACTTTTCAAAATGAGATGTTGAATGGGATAGGCTTGGATTCTGAGGCTTAGTGATGGGTTTGGGCCAGAAAATTTGGGCTGGATATCAATTTGGGTTGAGGCCTGGAGTAGCATAGATCTAGATTCATATCATCATCTAAACCATGTTTCAACTATATGGGGTCAAATACATAAATCCCATTTTGCTATTCTATTTTATTTAGTATCACATCTATCATCAAATTTGGACACTCAAATTATTTCTTACTACTTCAATCCAAGTTCTTTGTATCTGCCCATGGTTCTTTTAACCCCTATAACTTGTAAGAAACCACTTTTAATGTATGTGGTAGATGCTATTCTATGCATAAGACCAAATCATTTCAGCCCTTTTTTATTCATCTTATCACATATTAGAGCTATTTCCAAGTACCTTTGTATGACTTTATTTCCAACCCTATCATATATGATTTCATCTTCCATTGTCCAATTATTGAAATTCAAACCTCAAATCTGATTTATAATTTAAAAATATTGGGCTAGGATTGGATTGTAACCAAATTAGATGTTGATGGGGAATGGAATTTCTGGAGTGCATTGACAGCCTTATATCCAACAGTTTGCCCCATATAACATGGCTGACCTTACAACTATTTTATAAATTTTTTCTTTTAGCAAAAGTGGTATTCTCCTATTGTAAGACTCTTGATGCATCCTACCATTTTGCCCATCATACCCTAATTCTACAATTGACATCTCAATCTGCCCTTTGTTATGAATTATTGAATCAATATAGTGGTGCAAAATATGACCAAAAATACTTTAAAAAGCAACCAACCTACCTAGATCTGCACTGCCCCAACCTAAATTGTGTTGGGTAGTTGGATTTTCCTGAGGGGTTAGGTTATCCAACTTAAATTTTGCCTTAGATTGGGTTGGGCTTGGGCCCAATTCTCACTTTCTCAGGTATCAGGATTGGACCTAGTTTGGCCTTACACTCAAATAAACCCACTCCAGTTGAACCCTATTGTTGGTTGTTTTGATCCAAGCCCAGTCCAATTCAAAGTCAAGCAGGTATTTTTCAACCCTAATCAAATCCGCATAAAAAAAGTTAAAAACCCAACCTGATATAGTTTTAGAGTATAGTTGGTTCAGTTTGGTTGAGCCTACTAACTCCAACCAACCTAGTTATTTTCCGAATCCAAATCATCCACATCTCTCCTTTAACTGTTTTCTCAAGTGGTGCCTACTTCTTGCACCTAAGCCAAAACCTTAGTCTGTTTGGTTGTTGAGAAGGGATGGGATGAAAAGGGAAAATTTATTTTCTCATTTTGATATTTTGGTGTTTGATTGTTGAGAAGGGAAATTACTGTTCATCGTCTTCCTTCAAACTCAAACCAGTGGCATGGATGAGGTGAGTTCCAATCTCCCCCTCATTAGTAAAAGAAGAACGCCCAAAAAAAATTTAACAAATAATAATATATTTATAAATCAATACTTCAGCAGCATGTAGGAAGGGTTTGTCACCTTCAAAGTTGCAAAGGATACAAGGGCGAAGCAAGATCTGGAGTTGTTCTCACTGCCTCCAATCTTCACCCCAACGAGAAAACGTATAAAATTAAATAAAAAAAGTAAAAAGAATAATTGGGACCTGGTTTAATAAATCTAAGGGAAGAGAAACATATCTCATGGGAAAAACTGATTCGAGGGAAGAAAACTCTAACCTTGAAGCGGGTTTGAACCCAAAAAAAGGCATAAACACCTTGGCACGTTTTAACAGAAAACAATGGCTTTTAGCTGATGAACGACCATGTTCATTCAAGGTTCTACAAGCACAAGTGTAGATCTGTAAAACATCTACCTCTATACCGCCAGAAGCAATGGATTTTAGCCAACGAACGACCATGTTTTCCTGATGGCATGAGGAAATCGATGATGCCAAAAACGTGAAGAATATAGTTGCCTTAATTCAATGGTCATGGATCTAGTCTTATCTTGGCCAGATATCGTCAGGAATGCTACCAGAGACTTGATTGTTGTAGACGCAAGGAGATGGTGAGAGGACGGCTGCGGAGCTTCTGTCAAAGGTCTCGACATTTTTTTCTCACAATTTTCTCTTCTCACCGGAGTCTCACAATTTTCAATGCGACCCTGCATCCTTGGTTTTGAGAACCAACATCCCATCCCATCCCATCCCAAAGAAACATTTTAAGAATAAGAATCGTGTTTGGCATACATTTTTCGTTGGAATGAAACAAATTCGTCCCACCGCGCGACTTTCTACGGAGTGACAAAATTTGGAGATTCTTTGGAGGGCTAATTCTTGCTACGTCCTCCCTTTAAAAATTGAACACATGCGCCATATTTACACGTGAGAGTGAGGTTGGAATAGTAAATTTCCACAAAAACAAAACCTTTTTGATCAAAACCCAAAAACCCATCATTTTTTCCTCTCTCTTCCCCCCACCCTCTACGACGGCTAACTCGGCTCTTGAACCACACTTGGACGACAGTAGAACTCTCAAGTATGTATGTTTTTCTTTTTTTTTTTTCTTTTTTTTTTCATATTTTCATTATGAAAACGAATATATGAATGATCCGTTAAACTGTTTTGGGTCTACCGATCAAAACCCTAGACTGATTGTTTGTTCATCTCTTCCCCCACCGTATTTAATGGCTAACTCTGCTCTTGAACCACACTTGGACGACAGTAGAACTCTGAGGTATGCATGTAAACTGTTTTGGGTCTACCGATCAAAACCCTAGACTGATTGTTTGTTCATCACCTTCTTTCCCCACCATCTCTACCGGTTAACTCTGCTCTCCAATGGCACTTGGACAATGTCAATCTCTCTCTCTCTCTCTCTCTCTCTCTCGCTTCGCTCGCTCGTAGCGGGGCAGAATAATCGTCGATACCAACCGGGAGTTTAGTTTGTTTCTAAGTTCAATCTCAATGTCACCACCCGTTTCAATTTTCTAATCTAATGTTTCATTCATAAACGTTTATCTTAGTTTGTTCAGCTTTAGTATTTATTTTTATTATTTTATAAAACCTCACCCTTGTCTAATTTTCTGGGTAGTTTCATGTTAAAGTTTCAAATTCTCTTTCGTGTTCAGTTGTGTTCATTTCACTGCGTAGCATCTCTTCTTTATTTGGTTTTCCCGTATGGGTTAAATAAATTAACCCGTTATGCTTGTAGTTTGAAATGCTTCTGTTTAGTCTCCATATCTCTGAAGGTATTGTTGCTTGCCTATTTTGACGTTTTCATTTCTTGTTCCTTGTAGATAGGAAACTTGTGTACAAAATGATTTCAGCTATTTCTTGGGTCCCTAAAGGAGTTTCAAAGTCTGCTCCAGCTGTGGCAGAACCACCTTCAAAAGAGGAAATTGAAGAGACACTGAAAAGTGGTGCTTTAGAGAGAAGGTAGAACTCTTCCATTGTGAATGGATTCTATATCAGGATGGGTCTTTTGGTCATTATTGTTTATTGTTGCTATTAGTTAATTTGAAATCTGTGATCTGTATTATATGATTTTATATGCCATCTTATTTCGATACTTATTTGTGTTGGGTGCAACGATTAGGAAATTTAAACCAAATAAATTATATATCTCTCTATGTTGAATTGTTGATATATAAATTTGCTTTAGTTATTCTTTTTGATAATGAAAGCAAACTTTAGTCAAGAAAAGTGCCAAAGTAACAAGAAAACAAGGAGGGAAAGCATTAATGCATGATTAACAACCCTCCTCCCCAAGGGTTAAAAGTTATAGCATCCACTTGTTACAGAAGTTAGCAAAAAGGTGGCCCTCAAGTCAAAGTCCATAGAATCAACATCCATGAGATAATGGTTCTTTCAATTACTCTGATCTTCACTTGAGCCTCACTAGACTTCCGTTATTATTTTTTTATGAAAATTTCTCTTTCCATAAGCATGAGCAAATTGCAAGAGGTGTATTCTGTTGTTTTCATCTGGTGATCCTTATTTATACTATTTTCCTTTTTAGATAATAAATTTGGTGCACCATTACTTCAGCTTAGCCTCCAACATTTTTTTTTTGATAAATACTTAGCGTCCAACATTTATGTATGTGATCTTTCCTTGAGATGATCTGGTTTACCTGAATATAAAATATTTGACTAGTTATTGGTGATGGATCTGTGATTAGTGATGCCTACACACAGTCAGGTGTTATAAAGGAGCTGAGTTATCTGGTGATCTTGAGGTTGCAGCTTCCTAGCCAAACACAGGCTTCAAGTTAAGCTCATTTGCCCAGATGAATCTGAACCCTGATAGTATTGGTGTAACTCGCTTAAAGCCAAACTCCTTTACACATGATGCATATGTACATGTTCATCATATGTTCAAATTTCATTTTTTGAATATTGGACTCTATTAAATGGTCTATGGGTTCTGTATCTAGTACTGTACAATACAAAGTATACTGCACTAAGCTTTGACTCATAATTCTTGCTTGGTCAGGTTATGCCTCTTCTCTCTACCTTATATAGTGGTCTCAGTACAGAGTATGAGATTTCTTGGTCATGTTGAGATTTCAGAAGGTTCATCAGAGAACTAAACTCAACTAGGTCTTATCCTAATTAATTTTGGGTTGGCTATATGAATCTTGCTTTGCTGTTCCACTTTGTCAAGGGTCAACTGCTCATTTTTAGAGTAGGAAAAACTTTTGGTGTTTAAGTGAAAATAAATTAAAAATAGTACTTAACATTGATATTTGTACCTTGGTTTGTATCTTGCTCTGTCTTAGACCTACATAAAATTTTGATTCAGTTATCTGTTATCTTCGAGTTCTCTTCACTATGTTCCTGATATCTTTTTTTTTTTGTGATTTTTCCCTGAATCACATTTGATCATGAGAACATTTAACTGCATAATTTACATATATAACCTCATAGAAGAAAAATTATTTGATTCTCACATTGGTGGAACTGGCATCCTCCACTTTGGTCTGAAAACTGCATGTTTGTGTAGTGGAGATAGTGAGAATGAGGAGGAAGAAGATATGAACGTTGATGCTTCCAAGCAGAACAATGAAGTTGCACGTGCATTAGCTGCAGCAGATGCACTTGGCAGGACATCTAAAAACACAAATTCTGGGACGAGCTTTGAAGATATAACTGATGGCTTAAAAGAGCTTGACATGGACCATTATGATGAAGAAGATGATGGTATCCTCTTTCTGTCCACTACACAACCAATTTTATGTTTTTCCTCCTTTTTTTATCTTAATTACTTTTGGAGGTTATCGATGATTCAAACAATGCATTCTCACTTTTCTCCATGTTAAGTATTTCCCCTTTGGATATATGACCAAAAATGCATTTCTTCCTGGGTAACCTTAGGCATTGAGCTGTTTAGTACTGGCCTTGGCGACATCTTTTATCCAAGTAATGACATGGATCCATATCTAAAGGACAAGGATGTAAGTATGATGTCCTTTGTTGTATTAGCATTTGAAATTGCATGCATTATGGGCTTATTGTGCATGCAATGCAATTATGCTTTTGGCAGGATGATGATGATGATGATGAGGAAATTGAGGATATGGCCATAAAATCATCAGATGCAGTTATAGTTTGTGCACGTAATGAGGATGATGTCAGTCATCTTGAGGCATGTAATTGTTCCTTGAAGAGGAGTTCCTCTTTGTTCAGTCACTATTCACATATGAATTAATTTGTATAAAGCTTTAAATATTCAACCTTGCAGGTGTGGATATTTGAAGACTTAGATGATGGTGATTCAAACATGTATGTGCATCATGATGTCATCCTTCCAGCATTTCCCCTTTGCACAGCATGGCTCGACTGTCCTCTTAAAGGTGGAGATAAAGGTGCGCTATTACTTATTGGCACATAACTTTGTTGAATTTTAATGTCTGTTTGTTATACAGAACTTATATGTTTCTTATACAATATCAACTACCAAGCAGTTATTTATTTGTTTGAACTTTAATTAACACAACTTGTGGGGAATTATTTGAGAAAATATTCCTGATTGTTCTCTTTTTTTGAATAGTAAAATAAAAATTCATTAAAAAATAAAAACAAAGTACAATAGGGAGGTGAAATCACCCGAGAGAAGAAGGCAACAGCTCAGCATCAACCAACAAGAAAACAACCATGCTACAAACACTCGAAGAAACAAAAGCAAAAACACAAGAACCTCCCTGACTCAGAAACACATCAGTCTTCTCCTTCGAACACTTCATCCCACCCGTATCCTTGCTCGTTCCACACCACTCCCTCTACATAATGCTGCTTCATCCTTTTCTTTGTTATTCCTCTCGAACACTTCAAACGCTTTCCTAGTAAACTCCTCTCCTCCACAGAAAAACAGACCTAAACTTTTGCCAACCCTAACATTCCTATCAGCCAAATTTGCAATGTCCACGTTTCCTCCCTCCTCCTCACCAACTAGAGGAAACTCAAAAAAACTCTTTTCAGCAATGCTCCCCCTCTTCTTTTTCCTCTGACCCCATACCTAACTCAACAACCTCCTCTGAAACTTCTGACACCTGAGTCTCCAAACCATCTGAAGCTTGAATTTCATGACCACTGCCCACCTTACCCTCAGTAACTTTTTGAGCTCAAATATTGAAAGCCAGACAAGCAATCCCAAAAAATTATCAATATGAAAGTTCCTCTCTGCATGCATACCTGAGTTAGTGTGGATGTGTGGTGTCCAAGCTAACGTGTGGCACTTATTTATTGTCAATGTTCAATTGGCATGCTGAATATCTTTGCAGAGCCTTCTCCCACATATCATAGACTAAAAGTCTATTAGCTATAACCTATGTTACCCAGACATGGAAGAAAACGGCTAGACAAGGTGTTATAAAGTTTTCACCAAAAACTGAAGTGCCTGACACAATACCACACTCTTATGCAGGTATCCAGATACCATAGGTTATCACAAAAGATTGAAAATTTTATTTTTTTTTGATGGACTTATTGAAGGTTTTCTTCTTCCTATTTTGATTTATAAGCATAATTTAAAGATTAAAATCCTGTATGTAATGCTGATTATTTTATTAATACAAGTTCCTGTTATTGTTGATCAATAAAAAAAAATTTAAAGATTACAATTTCTAGCCATATGTTAGTAACTAAGTTAACCATACTATGTTACCTGAATACCTGTATAAGATTGCTGTATCATGTCCGATACTTCATTTTTTAATGTAAATGATCAGTGATAACTAGTGGCCAATCTTTTGAGTACAAGATTTCTCTATGGGTCCGTTTGGTTTGTAGTCAGAATCGGAATCTGTCCTAATCAGAATGGTCTATTCCCTAGAACTGTTTGGTTCAGACAGGAATCAGAATAGGAATCGGAATTGGCTGGAATGGATTCTCATTCCCAAGGGAGGGGGAGGGAATGGCCATTACCTCAAATGGGGCAATGCCATTTCACCAGGAAAGGGAATCAGATTCCGAATCCACCCAACCAAACAGTTGGAATCAGAATGGTCCATTCTGATTCCAGTGCCCTATTCCTGCGAACCAAATAGACCCTAAGATGTATGGTGCCATGCATTTCTAATGTATCGAATGCATGCAGCATGAAAGGTGTGGTGACACATGTTCGGCACATGACTTGATAAAATGAGTTACACGACTATTGTCATTGTTGCAGACATCAGAACTGCAGGGACAGCATATAATGTGTTTCACCATGTTATGCATCAATTCTTTGTTCTGGACCATCTTCAACAGCAGTTAGCATCTTCCTATGGGCAAGCCCAACATAAACCAGTGGACCTTGGTTCAACTTTTCTTGTTACCCACTTAAAAGGGCAACGGCGTTTGGATTTGGAATGAATGTTACATGCAATTGATAAGTGAGGCGTGTTCATACATGTCTAACCTAGTCTTGGCACATTTTACTTTGACATGTGTTGAAAATCTGTAGTGACTAGGGTGCTATGAGTTTTTTCTATCAGTTATTTCTTTATCACTGTTTTATATTACTTTCATTTTGCTGTTTTGCCGATCAGGAAGTAACTTTTTCCTGTTATGCTCACTTGCTAAAGTTTCCTCCATATTCCTCTTAACACATTCATATTGACAGGGAACTTCATAGCTGTGGGCTCAATGGAACCTGCCATTGAAATATGGGACCTAGACCTTGTATGTGAAATTGATATTACATTGTATTATTGGTTTACATTAATAAGAGAGATGACATAGGTACCTTCTACATTTGTAACATTTTCTCAATGTCTTATTGGCAGATTGATGAAGTCCAACCTGTTGTGGTATTGGGGGGCATTGCCAAGAGCAAAAAAGGAAAGAAGGTCCTCCATTATGTTTTCCTTTTATAGTCCTTCAAGTTTTGGTTTTGAGCCTGCATTTATGATATCGAACCATACTGCAAATTAATTAATAGTTATCTATTATTTTCCCCTAGATAATTATAGACGAGTGGTCATAATAAAATGTGGGGGAAGGGCAAGCCACCTGTACATGAATGAATGGATCCAGTAGGCTAATGAAAGGCTCCTTCAAGTGCTCCTGAGTTGCAGGCTGGCCCAGACTTGGGCAGCGGTAGATGCCATGGCTACCCTGTAAAAGCCTGGCCTGGCCCAGCCCATGATCATCCCTAAGTGTGGCCTAATACTGATTGACCATTTTTTTATTTCTTTTGATGGGATACACAATCGGGGGGGGTAGCCCATCCCCCAACCCATGTGCAGGTGAGATTCCATCCCAAGTCTCCGCTACAACCAGCAGGAGACCTTACCACACAGCTGGTTGGCACCTTGCCAAATGACCATAGGCATGTGCACATATAGAGATTAAATGTCGCTCTTGGGGCCTAAACATAAAGTCTAATGTGTTCTAGCCTAAGAAAGGAACCCATTATTGCCAACCCATAGTCCTAGCCCATGGGACTTTGAATATTTGACCTGTGGCCCAAAGTTGAAGCCCATTCAGCAAGCTAAATATTGAAGGATCTGGGAGAATATTCTAGAAGAATGTTCTAGGAATATATATATATATATATATATATATATATATATATAATATTGGTTTTTTGGTTTAGTATGAAACATGTTTTGCAAGAGAGGGCTTTCTTGCCCCTTAAGGAACCTTGTCTTTTTTTTTTAATATGTTCTGAAGGGCTACACAACGGGGGTAGTCCATCCCCCAACCCATAACCCCCTTAAGGAACCTTCTCTTGCCTATAAATAGCCCATTACTCCTCTTTTCCATATTAATGAAAGATTGAAATTTTTTGCTCTGCAACTTTTGGTGTGAAGCAAGAGTGCAAGACTCCTCCCCTTTTGGTGGGGAGACTCCAATTTTCCCCATCCTAATCATGATATTTTTATACCAAGGTTTGTTGGGTGGTGAGACTCTAGTCACTCAACCCATCGTATTGGCAAGACTTCACAAAATATAATTCTCTCCTCTTTCTGCTTTGTTTCTTTCTAATTTTGTGCAGTCACCATTAAGTTCAGCATAGCTTGGAGCTAGGGGTGAGCAAATGGGTAGGTTCTACCTGGAACTAAGTGGAACCGACCTCGAACCAGCCTTGAACCGATCCTATCCAATATGTTACAGGGTAGGCTCTGGTTCCAAATTCTTTGAACCGACCCCCACCCAGGCTGGTTCCAGGGTCTAGGGGTTTACCCTACCCGAACCGACCTTTGGTTGGCCTTGGTGGAACCGACCTTGTTGGAACCTGATTTGGAACCGAACTTGCCTTGAAATAAACCCCAGAATACTTTTGGGGATTTGAAGATTTGAATCCAAGCATTCATGGTTACAAAGGCCATGGTCTCACTTGACCACTGAGTTACTTAAGTGATTTGATCATTTGTTTTCCTTTTAATATTTGAATGTGTACAATAAGTAGTGTAAAAGGTAATATTTACAAAATTTAAATTTAATTTATAAGTTTTTAACCATATAATGATAATCTACATATTAAGTTATCCAATTTAATCAATAAAACATTTTAAACTATATATTGTATTTATTAAAAATCAAGTTTTTAAAGAACATGCTTTTTTTTGTGAAGGGGGAGAGTTAAAAAAGTACAGGTTCCATGGATAGACCCTGGAACCGACCCCAGAACCACCAAGGCCAGAACCGGCCCTGGAACCGACCTTCACAGGGTAGGTTCCAGTTCCAAAAACCAGGAATCGACCCCTACAGGGTAGGCTCTAGATTCTGCCATGGAACTGAACTGAACCG